CCTATTTTGAAGACACTTTTTCTATAAAGACTTTTATTACATCTGACATATTATGGGCTAGATAAAATTCATAATGAAGTATTTAAACTTTTTTTTTTTTTACTTCTAATGAGTACCGCTTTGGGGGCACTCCCCAATTATGTCTATGAGGTAAACTGTATGCTATATAATCAAGTAATGTAGGAAAGTCATGAGATTTTACATAAGTTGTAATGTGAGGATTGTCCTCACAATTCTAATTTTGGTTGTGTTGTATATTAGAGAGGGGGTTATTTGATGTGGCTTGAGTATGTAAGTTGGTATATTCAATTTGTTTAGTAATCACTAGTGTTGTTTAAGTATAGTTAAAATAAACCCAATCTCATCTCTATTATTCTTGTTTATTCTCCCTTATTGAAGAATAGATGAGGATGGTTCATTAAAAAAATATTTGGTCTTAAGAAAGGTTACATCCATAGTAACATAGAGTTTTCGTGAAAGGAGATCATAATACCAATATCTTTTCTTATAAAAACATAACTGAGAAAGACACAACGAACAACACATAAATCCAATTTGGATCATTGGTAATGCAACACAGCTAAATATTTTTAGAGGTATATGGAGTGTTGAAGGTAGTTTAACATACCATTCCAAAGATTGGAGTGATATGTGAAAATTAAGTATGTAGGATGACATACAGTTAAGAAGATAAATAGATAAACCCACGACATCAGGCCAACATTATTGAGGCATATAAACAACTCTTATAATGGTCTGTATTGTCTTCAATATGTGTCTATTTTTTCATTTGACAACTCTATTCTGTTAAGAAGTATATAAATATATAGTCTTATATATAATGCCCTTGTTATCACAAAATTATCTAAACTCTTGGCTAATATATTCGCCTTTATTATCATATTAAAGAGTTTTATTGGCCATAAAGAAGTGACATTTTTTTTATACTTCAACACATAAACCCAAGAGACCTTTGTATAGTCATCAATAAAGGTGACAAACCATCTAAAGCCAGTAGTAGTCAGAACAGGTGCAAGACCCTATAAATTGAAGGGAATAATCTCAAATGATGCATTGCATTTATTATAATTGATAGAGTAAATTGTTTGATGACTTTTACCTAGAATACAATTCTTGCATTTGAAATTAGATAGCAGTTCTCAAATAAAGTAGGGAATAAAAGTTGTAAATAGTTGAATGATGGATGTCCTAATTGATAATGTCATAATCAAATGTCTTGTCTTTATCGTTGTGATAATTAGGCAAAATGAACTTTTCCAAAGTCTAAATCATCCACGTAATATAACCTCACTCTTAATACCACGATCAAAAATCTTCTTCATGAAAATATATTGAAACAAACAAAATGAGGAGTACATCAGTATACAACAGTTTAAATCTTCTATTACCTGCTCTACTGATAGTAATTTAGTAGAGAGTGAAGGAACAAAAGGAGTATTAGAAAGAGTGAATATGGTTGATAATTCTATTGTTCCTCCCCCTAGTATTGAATAAATATCATTGTTACCATTTGATATGGCCTTCCATTGAGGAACTAACTTCGTTTTAAAGTTATTATTATCATATGTCATGTGATTTGTCACCTTAGAGTCAATAATCCAATTATTTATATGTTCACCATTGGATAATAAGTTTGTGAAACCAATAATACATAGGTATTAAGTTAAAGGCTAAGGTTGACTGTCAAGTGGCATAAGTGTGTTTGAATCTGTATTAGTAACAAATGTTGCTAGGTCATCCCATTCATCTTTTTTTCCTTTTAGTTTATACCACCACTCTGGATACCCGTGCAGCTGAAAACAAGTGTCTTTGGTGTGTTTATTTTTGCCATAATATGTGCACCCGCCCTCATGAGCTTTTACTTTATAAAAAATTAGCTTGCTAGAATTCAGCCCATGTGGACCAGGCCTAGGCTGAAGAGACTGTTTATTAGATGATGATGGGCTAAAAATTGATTTGGACAAGTTACCACTAGGTCTAACCCGTTTGTTCGGGCTTGTAAGAGTGAGGCTGCTGAAATCATTCTAGCCCTCATTAGTCATCTTGTTATTCTCATCATTTTTTATGACTTTATCTTTCTGCAACTCTAGATTTATCATGTCTCTCCTTTTCATCTCACCCTAGTTTATATCTCTGTCTCTTGTTAATAAACTGAAATCATCTGCCCCTTCTTCCTCCATCATCATAGTTTGTTTGGTGTTTTCTCTTCTTACTTAAGCCAAGGTTTGCTCAATCAATGATAGAAGGTTCTATTGAAGAATGTCTTGGTCAGTTTGATCAAATTAATAATCTAAACCATTTAATAAGGTATAAATTCAATCTTCTTAAACTAATGTGTTATATTTTTGTATGTCCCCATCACATGTCATGGGATTTAGGCATTTGTAGTCGATCTCTCACTAAGAAGATTGTAAATTAGTGTTGTAGTCTTCTAGAGAACCTTTCTCTTGTATGGTTCGACTGATTTTTCATTTTAGATCATATACTTGGACATTATCTCCTCCATCGATGCAGGTTGTAGCAATGTCGTCCTAAACACCTTTAGTTATAAGAAATATGATAAAATTCCCAATTAAATATGGGATCAGGGAATTAATAATTCAACATTAAATAATAACATTTTCTGTTCTCTATTTACACAACAATAATTATTAACTTCCAAGAAAAAACACAAGAAATGAAAAGTTTAAAAATAATATTTTAATAAAAGAGAAGATTGTTTTAACACTTGGTGGATCGGATATGATTTTTTCTTCTTTTTTAAATATGTTTCCTTTCTATGCTATAAATATCAAGTAATTATAATTTAAACATCATAAAAGTTTACATTACCAGTAAAAAGATCTTCATATTTTGTCGATGCGTGTTCATTATAATGTTTTCCCACTTTTACTTTGAATATAAACAAATGTAATGAGCAATCTCGCCCAATAACCATGTGAATTTTTGAGATGGAAAGACGTGGTAATATTATACTACAATATATATGAGGTGGGGAAAAGGGAAAAAAGAAAGGGAGGGCATCGATCCTTGATTATCCTAGTTTGGCCTACTGTATGTGGTCCTGGTTTAACTTTCCAATAATTGATTACATGACACCAAAATTAAATGCGAAAGAGTCATAGCTCCTACTAACTATCAAAGCAGTTGTGCTGCATATGTCCTTCAATGCACAACTACCAGTCTTCACACCCTCTGCTATTAGTATATTAGTCCTTGAATGGCTTTAATATTGTCCAAAAGCTTTACCTCCGTTGTTTCTTCACTAAATTCCTATTGGTGACTCTGTGATCCTTCAGTATCTTTAGTCTTTTTCGCTATGGCTGACACTGAACATTCTTCTTCTGACGAAACTTCTGTGGATTCTAGAGGTACTGTACACTCGCTTCTATGAGCACTTTCCTTTACCTACACGTCATCTTGGTAAGAAATATTGCTTGTTTTTACACGGTATTAGTTTCGCCCCTCCTATGTTCGTTACCCTTCCGGCTTTATGTATGAACTGTTTGTTCTCCAAAGGGTGTAGAGTTTATTGGTTTTGGGGTGTTTTGTTCAGAGGAAACAAGTCAGGAATCAAATCTTGAATTCTCTGAGGATGAGGAGACGCTTATAATTAGGATGTTTAATCTAGTTGGAGAGAGGTTTGTCTGTTTCCCTTTTGTTTTTCTATTTCAATGGCTTTGTTAGCCTTCAGATTCAAAATATCTAACACCCAAGTTGTAATAATCTTAATCATCAGGTGGTCTCTAATTGCTGGAAGGATTCCAGGAAGAACAGCTGAGGAAATAGAGAAGTATTGGAACACTAGATGCTCTACGAGTGAATGAAGGCATCTTAAGCTTTCTTACTTTACGTCTGCTAGAGCGAGTTGTGCTTCTGTCATTCATGAGCAGAAGATGAAGGGTTAAGCTGGTTCTGTAGCTGTGCTGTGTTTCATGAAGGGTTATTGTGATCATTTATTAGCTGCTATACCTTAAATGAGGATAATGTTCCTTGTGAATATCCCATGTCTCTATGCTTTTCTTTGTCTTTTCCGAATATATGTATTCCTTGTGCTCCAATACGTTTTCGTGTACTAAATATTGTTGCAAGAAATGGCTTGAGATTCGATGGCTATTTCTTCTGTCCGTGTAATTGTCAGCCATTCGTCCCCTGTGCTTATCCGAAAGATCTCCTTTTCAGAGTTTTCCTCCTCCTACTAACCTATCTTTCTTTTTTTTGAAAAAAAAAACAAGAAGTTTGGCAGCCACTATTGTTGTTGTTTGCATCAATATTTGCTCAGTATTTTCACTGTTTGGAGCCCACAGGCAACCACCATGTCATTTTCTCGGGGAAAATATCACCATGGAAAATAAAAACAATGCAGAACCAGGGAAAGCAATGATTAGGGGTCCGTTTCCAAACTTTTGGCTTTTGAGTTTTTTAGCTCGAAACGTCCCAAACTCGATGGCAAAACCTAGAGCTTCTCCAGCTTTTTGTTTATGAAAATACACGCACACGAGTTTGTGTCTAATTCATCCTTATATCCAATCTATCTTAAAAATATGGTTGTTTATTTGCCTTTAATCCTTCCTTTCATCATGTTTCCTCATGTTGACTGACTGGTATGTCCTTCGTTGATTTTCATCATATTTTTTAACATTTTATGTACTTATGTTAGTTTTGACGATGAAAACATAACAAAATGATAGGTTGAAGATGTAAAAACATTTTAAAGATACATTGAATACATGCAAGGATAGTGCCCTGTTATAAAGGTATGTAAAGCCATTTCTCTTATATTTAATGATAAAGTAATATTCTATTATATGATATATGTATAATATCTACTATATAAATTTATTATCAATTTCAATATAACTTCACTTTTTCAACCCTATAGTTAACCACACACTTCAGCATATTTTCCATCATTCTAAAAAAAATTATCACTTCAAAAGTTGTATCATTCTAAAAGTTCACAAGTGTGCATTGGAGGGTGAATCAAAAAAGAAAATAGATATGAAATTGTATACTGTACTCGTAACATAATTTGTTGATAAGCAATAAAGAAACCAACCAAGCGTTCTAGTATATTACATGACTGTCAGCGATTGTTACAGATCCGATTACATATTCATAAGCTTGACGATCGAGCTGAGAAGCAGTCACAAGTCAACAGTTATAACACTCAGACCAGAAGTACCAGATAGCATCTCAGTTGTGTTATGCATTGCTTTGTTTATAAAGCTTGGTGTCAAGTACTTGCTTTCCGCACATAGCACAAACTCCTGCAACATTAATAGCAAAATTAGAACTTGTTGCAAAACAATTACTAATATGTTAAACTCGACAAATCTGAATCAGAACACGGAACTGAAGTCAGAACATCAACAACAGTACCTTTGGAATAAGCACAGGTGTGACAGTACTTGCCATCTTGATGTACTTGCTGCTTGCAAATCATGCACTTGGTATTTCCATAAGGACTCCATCTGCAAGAAATAGAACTCCAAATAAGTTAAAACAGAATCACACCACAAGAATTACAAATGCGAAATCCCATTGCTACTGTGAAACACCATTAGTGTCAACAAACTATAATGTCTAATGAAAAAAAAAAAAAAAAAAAAGAGCAGCAAAAGTGTAATACAAGAACACGAGGTAAACTAGAAGAAAGACAAACTTTCATTCAACCTGGACTATAAAAATAATACGGAAATCAGTTACCCCAACAACAACTACTGCGTCTATACCAAACCCATCCTGATCCTTGCATTCTAATTCCCTAATCACCCACTGGCTATTACTGCTACTTAAGATCTAGATGTCCTTCACTCGGCAAAAGGCGTAACAAAATTTCTAGCAGATACATTAAGTTAGAACACAAACACCGCCAAGTAACTTGCTCGTAACCTTCTTAGCAAAGCCAACAAGCCTTCTCATTTTTTTCTAAAATTCTAGCACAATAGCTCTAATTCCTCATGGAGCACAGGAACTCCATACTCTCTACAGAAAGAAGCTTCAACCCTTGCGGGCATTCAGATCCTACAAGTCTGAAACTTCTCCAACTCCCACGGTTTGTTTTCATACCCTTTATTTACCCTAAAACTAGCTCACAAACTCTTTTCCTCTACACATATAATCCAAACAAATAGCAATACTATCGAAGCTAATCTGTAATCATACTCTGCCAAATATTTTAACACATCCACACCACAAATCCAAGAACGGGCAAGTTGCACAATAAGCAAGAACCTAGGTATTCATCCGCATCGCAATTCATTCATATGCTCAGAAAATACCATAAAAATCACACTATCAAACAGCATTACCACATGTTATTCACACTATCTAGTCACTACTGAGAAATCCCAAAACGCAAACTAAAAAAAAAAATTATTTTTTCACTGTGTTAACGATCACAGCCAGGAACTAACAAAAAAAAAAAAAACAAGAAGAAACAAAAAGCTGAGAAAAAAGAAAGAATAAGAGAACCTTTTTTTCTTGGAAAGGAGTTTATTCTCGTTGATTTTCCGTCCACCGCCTTCGGTGGTGTTGCTAGCTCCTTCCTTCCACTTATCAGGAACAATTACCTTACTTAACTTCTTTTCACCTAAAAAATCAAAATCAAAATATAAATCTCAAAAATCGAGACAAAATTAGATTAATCAATCATATATTAAGTATATTTGGATGCGAGATTAAGAGACTTACACTTTTCGCACACCATTTTTGTTGTTTTTGCTCTGATTTTTGGGGATTTTTGCCCAAAATTGAGATTTCCTGGAGAAGAGGGGGATTAGAGAGACAAGTCGTTGCTATGCATGTATAGAGTTTTGGATTGGACTGCTGAATTGACTAAAGTATCCTTACTGCTGAAAGGAAATTTCAAACTGCGGCAAGTTATGTTGACCGAAGAGTCGGTGAGTTTTATTGTGTTTAGATATTTGGGAAACCTCAATTTTAGTCTCAGACTTGTAAACCCATCCTCAATTGGACCCAAATTTATAAATTTTATCAATGAAGTCCTAAATGTTTTCTATATTTTTAATTGCATCATTTTATAAATTTCTTTTAATATTTTAACCCTATTTTGGAAATTTATATACAAGATGGGGTCAATTTGAGAAACAATTGATGGAAAAGTGAATGAAGATCAACATATTCAGTCTAAAATGCTTATTTATGAACTAACATAGCATCAATCTGAATAAAATCTAATGAAAACGTTAATAAACATTAATATTTTTGAAATATTTGGATCAAATTTATAAATTTATAAGTTTAGAACTTAGCGTAGAATGAGTATATAGTCTTGGGACTAAATTAATATTTTCCTTATTATTTTTCCTATATAGAACACAAATAATGAGATTAAATTAATGTTTTCCCTAATATTTTTTTTATAAATAAATATTCTTCTCGTGTGTGTTATTCGACTACATGAAAACTAAAAGCTGCTTCTATACATTGTTTGTAAGTAAACACTTGATCACAAGATAAATTTAATTATTTGAAAAAAAAAAGACAATTACTCTCTTTACTTCAAGAAATGAAAACAAATTGATGCTTTACTGTTCGAAAAAAAAATATATAAACAGTAAAGCACCTCAATTTTTTTTTTACTTTTTTTTCCTTTTTTTAATTATACTTTCCAAATTATTATTTTTTCTAATTTTATTCTTTTACACTTTATTGATTTGGAATTGGTTATTATAATTTATTTTAATTTTTTATAAGATTATCCTAATTTTAAATAAACATTCTAATAATTAATTGATATTTAATTTTTGCAGGCATCTAATTTTTGCATGTTATATTATTAAATAAAAAGTAATATTTTAAACATAGTGAAGTCTGTAATCAAAGTCTACCAATAGACTACGCTTTACTTAGCCGGTGTTGAACCAATAGACGACGTGTTATTTGGCATTGGGATGACAAGTAGTTTGTTCTTGTTTAAAAAAAAAATTAGGTGAACGACGTCTACCAAATTTAAATAAATAAAAATTTACATGTTCATCTCTGTTTTGGAACAGGGGCTACCCTGCAGATTCCAATCCCTGGTTTGTTTTCGCATAAGATTAAAATATTTTTTATAATATTAAAAACATTCTTTTTAACAATCTGTCATAATTTTATTTTATTTTTCTTAATATTTAATTAGAATTAATTATAATTAGTTTGCTTAATTTCACTTGAGGTGCCTTTTATCATGTATTTTGGAACAAGACGATGACGTCCTCTCGACTAGAAATGACCACAGCAAGAAATATTAAATAAGTAATATTTTCTAAATCTAATAAATAGAATCTTTCCTCTCTATTTAGATATCCCAGAAAGGCATATCTTTTATTAAAAAATAATATCAAATTTTATTATTTTACCCTGTTTAAATATTGAATTAACATTATTCTTTGCTCAGTTATATTTAATTTTAAAAGACAATATAATAAATATGATAAAAAGTATATGAGTCGACATATTATTTAATACATTGTTTTATTTATTTATTATTATTATTTCTTATGAAAGCTTCAAAAGAACTCTCACAAGGAAGAAAATCGTAACAAAAAATGTGCACGAATTTATTGCCACGCCAAAGCCAGTTTTTGGCTAAGAACAAAAGGAAGAGAAACAGCCACACAAAGAGATGATCAAGCAAAGGAATTTTTATATCTAGGCATCTGGATTTGCCAAGAAATATGCCTCGACAGCCTTGAACAAGCCTGCAGTCTTTTTGCCATACACATCCTTGATTTGATCTTTGTTGATCTCAGCATCACCCTTGATGTAATATGTGCTGGTTCTCTTGCAGATGCATCCTCCCTCGGGAGTTGGCACAAACTTGTGTTCGTAAGTCACCTTTTCAACTGCATCCTTCCAGACATTGGCTTCAATCAGGCTGAAGCTGTATGTTAAGTTCTCCTCGTCAGTGGCTTCAATCATCTGCTTGGCATAACTGAGTTCTTTGCCTGCACAATGAAAAAATAATTTATTACTTCTTCATGCAAGCATATATAGCATGTGATATGTTAAATGCAAGTATACAGTTATAACGAAAAATATTATAAATACTAGCCTTCAGTAAAAGTGATCTTCCTGATGGTTCCTGGCCCTCCATTTCCTTCAATTATCTCAGAGCTCTTAATATGTTCTGGCAGAATTTTAGGCAGTAGAGTATCTGTATCCAGACAATATGCCTTGAAAAGCTTGGCTGGGGCGACAGCAATGGCAAACTCATTTTCTAAAGTGATGACACCCATTATAACTTAGGATTTTCAAAGATCACAAGGGATTGAAAAGGGGAAGAGAACTTGTAGGTAAGGAATGTGTATGTGGTGCTGACAAAAGAGAAGTAGAGGTGGTATTTATTGGAGGAATTCCATGGCTATGCTGTGTGAAAGGATCACTAACTGTTAATATTCTGTTCATGGTCATTTCTTCTTCTTCTTCTTCTTCTTTTTTGTCTGATATGATCCAGTCAAATAAAGCACCTCTGAAAACTAAATAAAGATGATCTATGTCGTTGATACAGTAGTTTTGTGTTCATATAATTCATTACAAGCATGCTGGCGAAAGAGTCAGGTCCTTCTTGCACAGCGCAGCCGCAGCCCAATTTGCTGGATCTTTAAGAAATAATTATAACGCCTACATGTGTGTTGTGTAGCAAACCCAAACCAATTTCCCAGTTCATCTCAATCTTTTTTACTTCCCTTATCGAAAACAGATACTGATTATTGCAGTTGATTGAAGAAAACCCGACCAGAACCGGTCATAATAAGCCTTCCAAGAATATATTCATCAGCTATATAAATAATAAATAGTTTTCTAGTTTTTTTTTTTTTGGAAATAGAGTTTTAGTTTTTTCATTAGAAAACAAATTGAGAGATAAAAGACAAAAATTGACATGACGGAGGAAGCAGAACCTTTTTTTGGCATGCAAGAGTTCCATTTGATCCTTTAAGTTTTAATGTTTTTAAATTTCATCCCTATTCTTTTAAGTTATTACATTTTGTTTATAAACTTGGATTATTTTTTTTTACATTTTAATCCTTGAATGTTGAAAGAGGAGGGAGAATACTATCAGGTGACAAGATTTTACCCATCAATAAATTCAATTTTGGTGTTTATAGATTCAAGTTAATAAAGGAATTTAATAGAGATGATTTTTACCTTTAAGGGCATTGAAAAAAGTTGATTGATGCTAAAAAAATTAAAATTTTATTTTATTTTAATTAAAATGTATTTTGTTGTTAAAAATAAAATTTTAGATATTCATATGATTTTTTTATAATTTTAGAGTGAAAAAATAATCAAATTTGAATTAGAGATGGAGAGAATATGATGATCGAAGATGGTTATAGATGAAGCCGTGTCGTTAACTTTGAGAAAAAAAAAATTGGCTCAAGTGTCATCAAATGATCAAATAAAGTGGCCATCAATCTAGATTATTTAATGGCTACTCAAAAAAATCTAGAAGGTGTAATATAATAAGCCTCAAAATTATATAATCATATAGTGCTCCTTTTTAATATTGAGAGGATTAGAAAAGGAGTCATGCATTGCTAGAAAATAGAACTTAGGTATTCTGTTACATAGTAATTAGATAAACTTTGTATTTTTTTTTTAATTTTAATAACATGTAAAAAAAATTGAGATGGTTTAAGTTTAGTATTTATATTGTAATATTTTTTTTAATCGTTAAGTTTATATAGAATTTGTTAGCTTAATTTATTTAGTGAATTGGTTTGCTAGGAAATTAGTCATAACACTAGAATTAGTGCTTCAAAAACTTCCAACAATCCAAAGTGATTTCCTCTGCCAAGCAGGATTAGTGCTTCCTCAAAACTGAGATTCAACCTTCGTCTAATATTTGCTTGTGCTCTTGACGATGCATATTCCTCCACCAGGAGAAGACACAAACTTGTTCTTGAAAGGAAGGTAGGTGGGAGTTTTTCTCTTCAATTAAGCAAGAATTTCTCCCCAACCAAGCACTTGTATGAAGTATGGCTTTATGAATTTGTATTAAAAATTTACATGAATTCTTTGATACGATGTTAATTAAAAAAAAAAAATAATTATTAAAATTAAGAGTTAATCTAGATCTAATCGATTAAGAACTAAAACCGAGTTAGGTTAAAGAAAAAATAAGTGAAAGAAAAATTTTATATGATCTAGCTGACATGACGGATTGATCTAGTAACCCAACAAAATTTGATTATAATTTATTATTTTTTATTTTTTTATTAAAATATTTTATTTTGATTTTTTTAAAATAATTAGAATACCTTCATAATTTAGTTTAAATCTAAAACCTAAATTTTGGATCGGCTGGCCACCAGACCAGATCTTAGAACTACGTAATCAAGAGTCACTTTCAAGCCCATCTTTTTATTTTTTGGATTGGCTCTTTTTTTTTCCCTGCTGGCTGAAAAAAAAAAGAAGCCATCATTTGGTTTTTATTAATAGAGACCCTGTTGTGAGTAATTAGAAAATACCATGAAATATTCTTTTTGGCTGCTTGAAGTCGCCACACGTGTCGTTGGAGCATGGTGAGGTGGCTGACTTGTTGTCATGTTTAATGCTTGTGCCATCAATTATTTTTTTTATCTATTAATATAACAAATTGCTCCTAATTATAAATAATGATCATCATACGAAAAAATTTAAAAAAACATTTAAAAGCATGATTGAATTTCAAAAAAAAATACAATACTTATACCTTAAAATAAGTAATCTATTATCAACACCTAAACCATACAACACTAGTGTACTTTTACAAAGAAATTCTCTTTCAATTTCTCAAATATACAATTTGTAATTATATAAATAGAAAAATAAAATTTTATTTTTAAATAGATACTCGTACCAAGAGTGAATAATCCTAGATTGATATTTCTACTGCTGGAATTGATGTATGTTATTGTGTTTATGCAATTTATATGGTATTTCCTATAGTTAAGATGTTTTTTATATATTTTTTCTTGTATTTTTCTACTCTCATATAGATAAAAACAGATAGAGAACTTCTAGCCAAGGTGCAAAAAAATTGCTCTAATTGAATATAAATAATTCAATAAATTAAATAGATATTCAATAAAAATACATACTTTGTGATTTATACCCATCTCAAAACGGTATTCAAGAAAAAGGAAGAAAAAAGAACAAATGATGCTGAAGAATAGTAATTAAACAGTCACTTGCTCATCAATCCCATGGACTCAAGCTGCACTCCACTGGCAATGTTGGGAATCTTTCAGTGTCTTTGCAATAGTCATAGATCACAAGATTTCTTTGGACCCAGGCAAAGTCCATTTTTTGTTCATCGGAGAGATGCCAGGCATCGTATTGATCCCACCAATTCTTAGTCGTAGTTGATACGCATTCAGGGTAGGGATCCTCCCATTGGCAAGCTTCAACACTGAAGTCCTTGTAAGAGGACACAAATGGAGCCTTTTTCCAGTCTGTTTTCTCTAGTCCTCCCCTGGTGGCCCAGTCATCTGCGTTCCAGATGCTAGAGAATAGGTACATGGGCTTCTCATTGGGGAAGAAATTGTTTGCTTCTCCATTGTTCTTGTGCACCCTTACTGGAACTTTATCCACGAAAAACCTGCAGTTTGCATCAATATTCAGTGAAAAACTTTCACAGGCTTGCAGTTAGGATAAATTGAAACTATCATTTGCTGACATCCTCGTATCCAGTCCAATGAATTAAAGTTATGCTTGGTATAAGTTTCACATTTGAATCTCAGGAGGTAGGTTTAAGGTCTCGTAATTTGAAAAGGGAGGTTTATGGTCTCACTCCAAGCAAGATCTAAGAATATACAAAATTATAATGTATATATATTGATTAATCAAATACTTGTTAAATTTATAATTGAAACAAAACATGGAAAACAGCACCCATGTTTACACAGTTGGTCCATGAAACAGTCCCTTTAATCTACTTTCTTGGCCTTTTCTTCTTTGCTTTTGCTTTTAAAGATGAAAACTTCGAAGTTAACGCATTTGAAAAATCCCAACATTGATCTCTATTTCGAAAACCGAGATATATATATATATATATATAAACACAAGATTGAAGGACTTACACTATCTGATGGTTATTCCAGAGAATGGAATAGGTGTGATACTCTTCGGTAGGGTCGAACCAAAGCATGTGCCTCATTTCACGGTTGCCAGTCCCATTCTTGTATATATTTGTTTGTATCAAGTAGGGTTCTCCAGTTCTATTCCCCAGGAACTCAAAATCCAACTCATCTCTTGTTGGTCCTGCCCCATTCTCTGTGCACATCTGCAAACATACGTTATTCCTCTTTAATTAGCCTCCTTCCCCATTAATTTTCTGTTCTTGCTATCGAATTACAAGCACAATTTCTTAGTGAAGCTTCATAGGCATAAGATTTCAAGGCATTTTGAGCCTGTGGGGTAGTAGAGGAAAGACTTACATAATAAGCTGTCACTACACCTGCAGAGTCGCCTCCAACCAATTTCAGCTTCATGCTAAACCATCCAAATCTATAACTCTGCTTGGTTTGAAATCCACAGCCTATATATTCAAGAGACCAAATTAATACTTTAAAAAGAATACCAATCTTGAACATTAAGCAAGGTATATATATTTATATGATTTAATTAATGAACTGATAAAGAACTTCAGCTGGTTTTGATTGAAGCATCAATGCATAAATTTGTGTACCTGTTTCTTTGTCCAATGAGAGATACCAGATCTGCCCATCTTCAGATGTTTTGAAATGATCTTCAGACCACATTATACTAAAGTTATCTTCAAAAGAAGCTTTTGGTTGAACTGCTTCAGATGATGTATAAGAAGCAGCCATTAGAGCTGCAATGAAGAGAAGAGCTGCTGCCATTGTAGAAACCTTCTCTCAGTTTTGCTTGGATCAGAAGGCAGATAAGGAGCTTTCTCAACGGGCAGCTAGCTGGATCATTGTGAGAGGTGATGTGCATTTAATGATTAGTACTTTATAATGCCGTGCTTCCACTGTGAAGGTAAGAACTGGAAAACCAAGTTGACATGTCAACGTTGATAAATTATTTGGACATGATCATGGAATGTACAATTTTACCCGTCTTAGATATGTTAATCATATCATTAGGGTTTTGACGTGGAAGATTAGAATAAATTACAAAGTTATAAAACCTAATCCAAGTACTTAGAGCACTGAGAGAGGCGGATTAATCTTGATTGAAAAAAATAATTCATAATGATATGGTTTTAATTAAAAAATTAAAAATATATTATTTTGAAGAATTTATTTTTAAAGAGTTAAAATGGATTTTTATTGGGTAAATTAGGTCAAACATTATCAATTTTGTAGATTTTTTTTTTTAAATTGGTGAAATTAAGAGCTCGAGTCTTAAGTTAACATCTAAGTTAAATAAGTTTAATAATTATGATAAGTTATTGAATTATAATATGTTTGGAATTTTATGAATTTTATGAATTGAATTCAATTCCGAAACTTTCATAAATTATTGTATTTGAAATTCTTTCATAATCAATAATAAATTATATATATATATATATATATATATATAAAGCAAAAGTAAATTAATTTATGATTTGAAGAGTGTTTAGAAAAGCAAACTAATTTGTGTTTTTAAAAAAAATTATTTTTTTATTAAAAATTATGTTTTTTTTTGTTTTGAATTATTTTGATGGCTGATTTGAAAAATAATTTTTTAAAAATAAAAAAATATTATTTTAATATATTTTAAAATAAAAAATGTAGTTACTTTGGCTCAAAATACAAAAGTGACATGGGTATTATAGGCATTTGATAAAAATGGTGCGAGTAGAATTATAATCACATAGAAGATACATGGGGGACTGAGAAAGCCAGGCTGCCCTCCACTGGGTTTCGACAGAGAATTTTAAGGTGGGGTCCATATGTTGCTGAGCGATTTTGATTTGCCATACAATAATCAGAAAGTTCTTGGATTTGACAACTGTAATTTGAAGCACACAATAATATGAAATCTCAAAACAAAAATAAACAGACAAAAAATTACAGCCCACTTGCAATTTTTATAAGATTTTTTATATTTTTAATGTTTAAACTTTAAAATTCTTAGAATACTTCTAACGAAAATTAATTTAATATTTTTAAACAAAAATTAATTAAATCATATTACCACACATACTATCTATTACAATTAAATTTGACATGGATTATTACCAAAAAAAAATTTAAAAATAAAACAAATTATATTACCAAACATACTATCTATTATCTATTGCAATTAAATTTGACATTGGTTATTTAAAAAAAATTATTGAAAAAGGTTATAAAATACATAATCATAAAACTTATATCTCATTATCAAATGATAATTATTATTATTATTGCAAGACTGGAATTGAATTTCAAATGCTAATGTACATGTACACATGCTTTTAAGATCATAAACACTCGCAAGAAGCACAAAGATTTGAGATTAAACCGTTATATGAATTGCGAATGCCTTAGCATTTCTAGAAAAACAGAGCACTCGACAGGTTTTTCAAGGCAATCTCTTCACTTTAACGTAGCAATGGAGGAGGTCCAAATATCAAGCTATAAAGAGAGAACTTCTACTAGGAAGCAGAGCTTGCTTTCCCTGTAATAAACAAGACCAGCATTACTAGGAAGCAGAGCTTGCTTTCCCGGTAATAAACAAGACCAACATGCTAATCGCAATGACCGAGAAGGAAGGCTAACACTATACAGTGACGAAACATTATCCTCTTCACTGTGGTTCAGACAGAGCATGTGGGCAACCAGTGGTATACCTTTTAGGATGCTCAAGGATGGAATCTTATTAACTGTTTGATGATTACAAGTCAAATGCTTCAAACGGTGGATCTCAATGGAGCACATGCCAGGCAATTTTGAAGTGATTATACGGTGACAGAGGCATGGATATAAACCCGGACTTGGATGGTGGAATGACTCGGGACCTAGACGTGTGGGGCCTTACTCGGGTTTCTATATTTTAAAATTTTAAAGATTAATTAATTAGTTTTATTAAAAAAAAAATTATAAATAATATTTTTTTAAAATTGTTTGTTTTCAAATATTTTTTTCCTTATCTAAAGACTCTTTTTTTTTTTAATTATTTTTTAGTTCGTTAAAGCTCTGAACTTGATATGGTTGTCAAGCTTAGTTGCTTGGATTGGCATAGTTTTCGAACTTAAAATATTTAGATTTGATATTATTATTAAATTTATATTACTTGGATATGGTAAAAAGATAAATAAAGGTTTAAAAATTAAATTATTTTATTAGGTTTAATAACATAATTATAATATTTTTTATACTTTTAATATTTACTTATATATTTTTTAAAAAATAATATTGATTCATTGCAGAACACATATCAATATATTAGCTTCAAATATTTTTTTCCTTATCTAAAGACTTTTGTTTTTAATTATTTTTTAGTTGGTTAAGGCTCTGAACTTGGTATGGTTGTCAAGTTCAGGTGCCTGAATTTGTATAGTTTTTAAACTCAAGATATTTAAATCTGATATTATTATTAAATTTATATTACTTGGATCTAGTAAAAAGATAAATAAAGGTTTAAATATTAACTCGTTTTATTAGGTTTAGTAATATAATTATAATATTTTTTATATCTTTAATATTTTTTTATATATTTTTTAAAAATAATATTGATTCATTGCAAAGCAAATATCAATATATTAGTATATGTAAAAGACGATCAATAATTGGTTTAGTAATAACAAGTTGAAAAAAAAAAAAAGAGTTGTCCATGTGACAAGCTATTAAAATATATCTAGTTAGTAGTTCTTACATAAATATAATAGATAAATAGACTATAAATGTAACTAATTTAATGTTCCCCTGCCTCGGCTCGTGGCATCGCGCGCGGCTGCCATAGCTGGCTTTCATCTATTTAACTTCCTCCAGTAGCCCATGATGGTGGAAAAGAAAAACCTCATAACAATATTTAAAAATCTATCATTACAAATCCAGAAACTATACAGATATCATGTTGTACTTTTAAATTAAAATATTTAAATAAAAAAAATTATTCTACATTAAAAAATATAATTTTTTTTTTATAAACATAGAATATATATATATATATATAAAAGAATTTAAATCTCATATTAAAAAGATATTATATTATTTTTTTAAATTAAAGTATTTAAACCAAAACATTTTTTATCCCTCATTAAAAAAATATAATTTTTTTCTTGTGAACATAGAATATATATACTAAAAGGATTCAAATCTCATATTGAAAAGATATTATATTATCCTTTTAAATTAAAGTATTTAAACCAAAACATTTTTTATCCTTCATTAAAAAAACATAACTTTTTTTTTTATAAACATAAAGTATTATACGAAAACTATTTAAAATTCAAATCTCATATTAAAAAAATAATTCTTTTCATGAAAACATAGAATATATACAATAAAGGGTTTAAAAAATGTTAATAACTAACTAACTATATATATATATATATATATATGAGAAAAACTATATTTTTTAAAAAAATATTAAGTCTCATTCAGGAAGTTTATCCGAGTCGCCCGAGTTATGAATTAATTAAATTTAGTCGAGTCGTTACATTAATAATATATATATATGAGAAAAACTATATTTTTAAAAAAAATATTAAGTCTCATTCAGGAAATTTATCCGAGTCGCCCGAGTTATGAATCAATCAAATTTAGTCAAGTCGTTACATTAATGATGTTTTAATAAACTCAAACTAATCTAACCATCAAGATAATTCGATTGGGTTATGGTAGACCAATCAAGATTCAATAACTAAGAGCTAAGAGCAAAACCCATGCAAGCTGCAATCAAAAAACAAGGAGGATGCTGGATCTTGGATTTATTTATAAGATAGTATTACTTGGAATTTTATAAATATCAAAATCATTAAAAATTTCCGTAGTTATTAACTTTATAATCTCAAAAAATTAACAAGATATACATAAACTACCCCACCTATATCTATAAGCGTCAACTGTCAATGAAACGGGGAACAACATCAGTGGAAGGGGAGAGAACCTGGAAATGAATAGGAGGCAGGGAAAGCTTGTGCAAAGACTGTGAACAGTCTAGTTCTAAAATAAACATAGGTGAGTAAATGGTGGTTTATTTAAATGCAAGGAGTGTGCTTGGGTGAAGTATAACAACACCACATGAAGTGGCATATTTGTTCCATGGAAGATGTAAAATGGATACTTGACATTGCAGCAATGGTGGAGCTTTAGGGAGCAAATGAAAACCAAGTACACTAGATCAAAGCTAGATTCATAAAATAAGCAATCTTCAGATTCATTTTGATTAACTTTCTTCTCTTTCATGTTAATATCATAGCCTTACATTTTAATAAAATGTTCTCAATAATTAGGAATAAATAATACATGTCAATTGCGATTTTATTAACTCTAATGGAGGGTTAATTTGATCACCTAGTCCAAAATGAGTTTAAAATCAAATTAAATAAAAATTAATTTAACATGATCTCTATTGATTATGTAACTATTTAATTTATAATTTTTTACCTATAAATTTTAAAATTAGATAAATTACTCATAATTTTATCAAAATTTGATTTGATTTTGAATTTTTTTCAATGCAATATTTTTTTTTAAAAAAAATCTAAAGTGATATTATTTTAAATTAATTTGAGTAAATCTGATTTAAATTTAATAATTTTACAACAAATTAAATTCAAGTAAAATTAACTTAACAGGATATTGATTATACAAATCACTTACAATAATTTAATTAAAACTTGATTTATTTTTTTAATATAATATTTTTTAAAAATTATTATTTTAAATTAATTTGAATCAATTCATCAAACTCATAATTAATTAATTTAAACTTAATAATTTTATAACAAATAATTTTATTTTTATGAATCATGAAAAAACATTTAAATAAGATCCGATTTGAATTTTGTCATTCATGAATCAACAACTTGAATGACTTATCGTTCAAAGATAACTCAAAATACCGTCATTCGGAGGGAAGAGCGAGCAACTTTGTGCACAAAAATGTCTCTTAACAGAGCAAACCCAACAACTTCAATGAAATGGAGAATCCAAATCAGACAAAACCAGTTAGTGTTCCAAATATCCTCAATCCTCTTACAAAGACACAACTGGGTTTCACTTCTCCAAAACTTGAACCTCTCCACAAGACTAACTCCTCCTCTCTTTAACCAAATCCTCCACAAAACACAAACTAACCCCCAAATTTCTCTGCGCTTCTTCAACTGGGTCCAAACCAATCTAAAGCTTAAACCAGACCTTAAATCCCAATGTCACATCATCAATATTTGTGCCAATTCGGGTCTCACTCTACCTGTTAGACCACTCATGGATTCTTTGGTGAAAACACATCATGTGTCAGTACTTGGAGAGGCCATGGTTGATTCTTGTAGAGGTAAAAGTTTAAAGTCTGATGCCTTAAGTTTTGTTCTTGAATGTTACTCGCATAAGGGTCTGTTTATGGAGGGTTTAGAGATGTTTAGGAAGATGAGGGGTAATGGATTTATTGCTTCTGTTACTGCCTGTAATGCTATTCTTGATGTTTTGCAAAGAGAAAATGAGATTAAATTAGCTTGGTGTTTTTATTGTGCCATGATTAAAGATGGGGTTTTGCCTGATAAATTAACTTGGTCGTTGATTGCTCAGATTCTTTGTAAAGAAGGGAACTTTGAGAGAATTGTTAAGTTTTTAGATATGGGTGTTTATAATTCAGTTTTGTATAACGGTGTTATTGATTGTTGTAGTAAAAGAGGGGATTTTGAAGCTGCTTTTGAGAGGCTAAATCAGATGCGTGAGAGGAAACTTGACCCTGGTTTTAGTACTTATAGTGCGATACTTGATGGAGCTTGTAAACATGGGAATGAAGAAGTGATTGAGAGAGTTATGGATATAATGGCTGAGAAAGGCATGCTTCCAAAATGCCCTTTGTCTCAATGTGATTCAGTCATTCAAAAGTTTTCTGATTTGTGTAAGATGAATGTAGCAACAATGTTTTTTAGGAGAGCTTGTGATGAGAAGATTGGATTACAAGATGCTACTTATGGGTGTATGTTAAAGGCATTGTCTAAAGAAGCAAGAGTAAAGGAAGCAATTGGTTTATACAGTTTAATTTCCGAAAAGGGAATCAAGGTGAAGGATAGTACTTATCATGCATTTTTGGATCTTCTCAGCGAAGAAGATCAGTATGAAGAAGGCTATGAGATATTGGGGGACATGATGAGAAGAGGTTTTAGACCTGGTACAGTTGGGTTGTCTAAATTTATCTTGTTACTTAGTAGAAAACGTAGATGGAGGGAAGTGGAAGACTTGCTGGAGTTAGTTTTAGAGAAAGGATTACTGCCAGATTCACTGTGCTGTTGCTCCCTAGTTGAGTATTATTGCTCTAGTAGACAGATTGATAAGGCTGTTGCGTTGCATAACAAGATGGAGAAATTGCAAGCAAGTTTGGATGTTGCAACATATAATATACTTCTTGATGGGCTTGTAAAAAACGGTAGGATTGAAGAAGTAGTTAGGGTATTTGATTACATGGAAAGACTCAAATTAGTGAATAGTGAAAGTTTTACAATTGCAATCCGTGGGCTTTTCCGTGCAAAAGAAATGAGGAAAGCAATGAAACTTCATGATGAAATGCTGCACATGGGGCTGAAACCTGATAAAGCAGCATATAAAAGGCTGATATTGGAATTCAACAAGTAGAATGTACAGGCAGTGTGTTTGTCCTGCGACTTTTCCTGGTCAGACTGTATACTTTTGCCCGTCTTTTTTTTTTTGAGTTAGCAAATATGATGCTCAGTCCAAGCGTTACAGTTTTCTAAATTTAAAGAATATTGTTGTGGTCTATTTTCTGAACCATGCAATTCCTGTTATATGAGCATATACAGTGCCATAGTGCTGCATGATTGTCTGCTGATAACATGTTTTATGAGATGCTCGATGGTAAACAAGATCAGGTTTTTGTCCTCTCACAAACAGGTGATGAACTTCAGATAGATCAAAAGAAGATGGAGCAAGCCTTTGCATTATGTTGTAAGTTAGAGAATTGCATACAAGTTTGGAGGAAGCAGCATATGGTTGAACTTCTTGATGGTTGGTCAAAGAAGTTAGGGTTTACAAAAACAAAGAAGAGAGGTTGGTGAAGAGGTTTGGATGTTTGATTACACAAAATAACTTGATGATGAATCCATATTGCAAGTTTCACAAATACAATGTGCAAGCTTTCCTACTTGAGGAGCAATGAAACTCCATGAAACCAATAAAGCAACAGGGACAAGCTTTGATATTGAGATGCAAGCAATGGATTGTGTATCTTTAGCTGTACTGGGATCAAACTAAGATGTTGTTTGGGATTTTGTTATCTAAAAATTTGATTTTTTTGTTTAAAATTATTATTTTTTTTAAAAAAATCGACTATATGGACTCTGTATTTTTTTAATCATTAACTATTGAACTAATTCATGAAAAAATAGTAAGAAATAATAAATATAAAGTACAACGAGCCAGTTAAAACAGCAAATAGGAATTTCTTCAATGGCTTGAAGTAACCACTTCTATAGGGACTTCATTACTAAATTTAAAGTGATTTTTACTCATTCATCGAACCCGGTATTTATTTTTACTTGAAAGTGTTCTTGCAGGACACGAATTTGGAAAAAGATTCACGTTAATCAAAGGGGTATATGGATGGCTCAGGACGGGGTTCTTAGCACAAGAGTAGAGAAGTGCGGAAGATTGACACTGAGATTTTAGTTCAGAATTATCATAAACTTAATAAAATTGCCTATAATTTTTTATTTAACTATTAAATTATATTTAAATTTTATCAAGAAATTTTTCCTCTCTAATTTTATAAAAAATTAGCTTGTTGTAATCAGATGAGATGAGAAGATTTTCAAATTAGATCTGGATAGTGTTGTTGGGATTGGTTTTTTTATTTTTTTAGATTTTTTTTGTTTAAGATTATTATTGTTTTTTTTTTTTATTTTGAGTTTTTATGTGAAGATTTTATTGACTAAATTTTATATTATTTATACTTTCTATTTTTTTTTTAATCTTATTTCAATTTGCGTTATTAGGTAACTATTCTCGTCTCAACAAAAACTAGTAGTAGCTCAATATATTCTAATGTTTTTTTTTTTTCCTTCTCTTTTCTTCTAATGTTGCTCGCAAGTAGTAACTCGACTTTTCTTATCACATACATGAAAACAGGATATTATAGATTAAAAGGGTGTTTTGTATAACTTCTGTTTTTAGAAGCTTTTTAAAAGCATTTTTTATTTAAAAAATATTAAATTAATATTTTTTATAATTTTTATATCATATAATTTTTTTTTTAAATAATTAAAAATTTTATTAAACTTAATAGAGTTTATGATACAGGTTGTTAGGTTGTTGGGGGTTAAAATTAATTTAATTTATTATTATCTTAAAAGTTGTTATTTTAAAATTTCTTTAAAAGCAAGTCATATTTTTATGAGTGATTAATATTGCATTTAAATTCATAAAATCAATTAATTTATTTTGGTTTAGTTAGTGAGTGATGTAGTTGGAAATTTTAGTTAGGTAAAGGTTGTGAGATTTTAAAATTGATTTATTAAATTAATTTTAATAACACAATTAAAATAAATTTCACTCTTAATATCGTTTTTCATATTTAAAAAAATTAGTCTATCTTGCAACATATTACGAGACAATAGCATAGTTTATGTGAAAAAGGGGATGTACAAGGAGAACGTAGAAGTTGGAAAGAAAAAGACGAATGTGATGCTTGGTGGTAATGGCATGCATTCCACTATCATTGATGGCTATACGACATTCAAGCCTGCAACAGTAGGTAAAGATCTCTTTCTTTTTGGTGGAAGTTTCTATACAAATTATGTCTATCTCCTTCTTAATGCATCAAGGAAATCATGTTTTATAATCCATGAATGCAGCTGCTGATGGTGATGGATTCATAGCCCAGGATATTTGGTTCCCAAACACAGCTAGGCCACAGAAACATCAAGCCGTGGCACTTCGCGTCGGAGCTGATCAATCCGTCATCAACCGATGCCGCATTGATGCCTACCAAGACACCCTCAATGCCCACAGCCTCTGGCAATTCTACAGAGATGGCTGCGATACCCGCACAGTAGACTTCTGTGGTGCTCAAAACTGCAAGCTTGTACCACGAAAGCCCATGAGTGGACAAAATAACATGGTAACAGCCCAAGGAAGAACTGACCCAAACCAAAACGCAGGGATTTCAATCCAAAAACGTGACTTTATAGCAAGTTCGGATCTTCAGCCTGTTAAGGGCTCATTCAAATCATACCTGGGCCGACCATGGAAGGAGTATTCTAGGACTGTTGTAATGCAATCGCAATGGTGAATCCAGCTGGGTGGTCAGTGTGGGAAGGGGAGTTTCCATTAAAGACTTTGTATTACGGTGAATACTTGAACCAGGGACCAGAGCTGGTGCTGGTATAAGAGTGAAGTGGGCTGGTTATCATGTCATTACTAGTGCTAACGAGGCCATGAAATTCACAGTGGCTGAGCTGATACAAGGTGACATGGCTGAGGGTGACTGGAGTTGCTTGTACAGGAGGGCTGTGAAAATGGATTGGGTTTTTGTGTACTTATCATGTCTTCTAGAAATAAGTGAAATTTAATATAATTAACCGGGTCAATATTTATTTGATTTAATTTAAAATATAATCCTGGATAAATCCTAAATTGATGAGTAATCTTGTGAAACACTGTAGGTAGAGAAAAATAGGATGGGGATATTGACAAGAGCTTAGTTCGTTTAGGTAAAACTATGCAATCATACCTACCTGTTCATTCACTTGAACACGATAAGCTTACATGAGAAAAGAAGGGGCCATTAACTATATTACATGATAGCTCAGTTTTACCATATATATATATATATATATATATATATATAGATTCTCATAGCGCAATTTGATGGCAGATCTTTATCTACAGTACTCTTTCTTTTTTTAAAACAAAAAATAAGTCAGGATGTCAACCATTTTAACGAACATGTTTGTATCCCAAATCTCGAAATGATATTGCTTTTTATGTTTAATATATAAGAGAAATATGTTTTCGATCTTATGATAATTATAAGAGGAGATAAATGTCACACAACATATTGCATAAATAGCAATTACAGTTTTTAAATAATAATATTACAGTCCTAAAGTGTAGCTAGAAAAATAAATGGAAAAAACTACGATATTTAAAAAAAATAATAATAAATGGAAAAAAACTATGATATTTTTTTTTAAAAAATAATATACCAATAGTTTATATAATTAAAGGTAAAAACCGACATAATCAAAATAATAAAATAGCATTTTTAATCTAAATTGAAGGCCTTTTAAACCCCAACCAATCCCATAATTAAATCTAAAATTATAATTATTTTTGTTAAAGCTACATTAATTTGGCATGTTTTTATTTATATGATCCACAAATATATTCGGAACTTGTTATATTATGTTAAATTCAATATCATTCCTATTATAAGACATTTTATACTATTTTTTTAAAATTCAATTATAAGATATAATGAAGGAGAAAGGACATAAGTTATCAATTGAATCATAGGCTCATTGACTAGATCAACACTTTCTTTCAAATTAAGCATGTTAGATTCCTAGTTTACATAAATCACTTCTTGCCTTCTGCTTTATCTCGATAGATTGTCCATTGAATCATATATATATATATATATATATATATATATATAAAAGGAAATCATCATTGACTTCCTATTAGTGGAAAAGTACTTAATTTCCCTTCTAGTTCTTTCCCACCTACCATTTTTCTTCGATGAAAATCTAGTCGAATTCTACTCTACTGCTCTTCAATTAATAACAAGCTATCAAAAATCCCAATATACACATTTAAAAAAAAAATTCTTGAAACTAAGGAATGCATGTAATGCACCATGTTTCGAAAATAAAACATGAACTAATAAACAAGTTTTTTCTGAAAGATTATTTTAGAACTAATGGAAAAAAAATAAAAAAAATGAAAATCCAATTTTTTTGTCTTTTGCCTGAATGCAAACATATCCTTAAACCCTCACCCCTTTACCACAACACTAATCACTCTAATCATCCCCCAACTACTAAATGCAATCAAAGATTTTTCTATTCAAAGCACATTGGAGAGAATGTCAAACATCACCTTTACTAAAAATAAAAATAAAAATAGTAGATATATCAACTTGATTTAATTTTATGATTATGTTTCCTTCAATGAAACAGCTGCCACAAACGTGGCTCCAATTATCAGAAAATACTTAGCATGTCATCAAAACACCCAAACCCTTTGTGGGATTTGCCAGAAAAGCATAGGAATTTCGGCAATACTAGTAGATTACAGGATGATACCATTACAGTAGTTGCAGATATAATAAAAAATATAATTAATGTGTTTTTTTTTTCCTATTGAGAACATACAATGAATTACTTATAGCTTCAACAGAAAGCACACATGGTGCCATATCAGATTTAACATTATAAAAATGGATGATAGTGAGGGAATATCCATGTGGGGGGCACGAAAGACCAGCCGAAACTCTTCCTGTTATGTATTTTACCTAATAAAATTTATTTATATCCTTGTTTTTTAATCAATTTTTTTTTGGATAATGAAAAGATCTAGGAAATTAAATATATGGATAAGAACTTAAGAGTTGAGGATTTTACAATCTAATCCTCTCCCGTCTCAAATAATTAAAATGATTATATATATATATATATAGAAGAGCATTAACAGCTTAAAAAAATAAAATAAAAACTCAAATAGTTAGGTGAGAGCTTTTAGAAATTAAAGCAAATTATATAAAAGTAGAGACAAGCAATTGCAAGCGAGTTGTTTTGTTATTAAAATATTAGCCTTCGCTCATCATCAATA